TACAAAATAGGTAAAAGTGTGTGACTTGCACTGTTATAGTAACGGGTCAATATCGGTATCGGTCAATATCGGTATCGGTCAATATCGGTATCGGACATTTCTCAAAGTTGTAATATCGGTATCGTATCGGAAGTGAAAAAGTGGTATCGGGACATCCCTAGTGATTATAAGTATTTATTCTATAAGATACCTCAGAATAATAAACTTAAATGAAGAAAAAAATGTTAAAACCTTATTTAAGAAAATGAAAAGTGGTGCAAAACTTTTACTCATCCCCTCGAGGTGGGGTAAAGACATGAATTCCAGGTTGAAAGGCAACACTAAGAGGGTTTAAGTAGTTGTCACCAGCTATATACTTAGACAGAAACATTGGACAGTGGATCATATCTACCTCTATCTTAGTCCTGTAAAGCACGAGCCTGCGGAGGTGTGTAAGTTTGGAGATGTGGGTGAAAGCCTGTGGGTGGAGGCGGTCGCAGGAYGACAGATTGAGCTCCTGCAGCGAGGGACAAGTCTGGGAGATGACCTCTACACAGGCTTCATTCAGGAAGTGACAGCAGGACATTTCCAGGCAGACCAGACTGAGACCACAGGCGTTCATAAAGCTGAGGAGAGAAAAGCAGAGAAAGAAGTGGACGGAGATAGTAAAAAAAAGAAAGGTTTTAATTTTTAATAATTAATTTTTTTTTGTTCTTATTTCACTTTTATTTCAAATTGAACGCCTGGTTATTTTCTGTCAATAAAAGACCCAACTTCAAAACTGTTTGTACTTGTGTTTTTCACTTTTCTAAGGTCATTTTACTGGTCCCAGAACTTGCAGCCTGCTGATAGTCTGACCTGCTGAAGCCCGTCAGTGTGAGCGCTCCACGGTTGCCGGCCCAGGACAGGTTGAGCCTCTGGAGGAGGGTGCAGCGGCTCTGCAGGTGTCCCAGGGAGGCGTCACTCAGCCGGGCCCAGTAGGGCTGCAGACTCAGCTGGGTGTACTGCAGCGGGTCGCAGCAGTGCTGGTGCAGCAGCTTGCAGGTCTGGGCCAGACGGCAGAGGTCTGGCAGGGTCAGGTGGCTCAGTATCAACTGGATGAGCTGCGGACGGGGAGAGAGGAGTCAGGAGAGAAGGAGAAAGTGAAGAAGGGGAGAGGCGACGAGAAGAGTAAAAACAAAACGTGTTTAATGTGAAGGCAAAAAGCAGAGTAGAGCTTTGTAGCAAAACAGAAATTTGTTGAAAATAAAGAATGTGGAGTATAACTTGTCTTTTTGTATCATTAAAAAAGTGGTTGTTTATCTAACTTCAGTCACTTTGACTGATTCCTTAAGAGCAGCAAACAAATGCAGMAAAATAAGATCAACAATGTAGACCTCCAAGAGACAGCCATTTGGTATTGAGATGTCTGACACTTTGAATGTTTTGGTACATATTTAAATTTATTGAAAATAAAAAAGATAGTTTAGGTTGAGAGTAAACCTACTGGTCTGAAAGACAAACCACAAAAGCAATGTGTGTTTGAATGCCGAGCTCTGTCTTTATGACACTCCACAATGGCACGATATGAGGGCCAAAATYAAGATTATTAYGCTWCCAGCGGTTGCTACATCCTTGTAGCAKGAGGCTATATCTATWCCTAAGCCAGCTATTGACCTGATTAATGAGAGGCCGGAACTGGCAAATGAGAAGGAGACTATTGATTTGTGTTAGCATCAGAGAGGCTAGCAACTAGCATGAATAAGCTGGTGTTAGCATTGGAGAGCCTAGTGACTAACATCACCTACTTTTTTAGACAAACATTATTGAATAAAGAAAACTTTCTCAACAAAAATGGTTGACATAAAAAACCTATAAGCGACATGCACTGACAGGTGTTCTTTACACAGAATTTACTGTTTAACATGACGTCAAGCATAAATATTAAAGGGGACCTATTATGCAAAATTCACTTTTTTAAAGTTTTTTTTTTACTCAACTTTGGGTATGTACTTATTTAAAAAAAAACAGTCCTAGGACCAAAAAAATGCACCCAGGGGCATATTTACTCTTAGTAAATGTATTTTTAATGTATTAACAAGTTTTATGCTTCCTACATTTCAAGATGTCAGAAGCCGTACGACAACCCACCAGAACCTGCGTTCAGCCCCTTACCTAGCAACCC